ACCCAGCATCTTCCAGGAAAAGAATGACTGTAAGGTGTGACCTCCATATCACTTAACCTGGAGATTTTTCTTAAGCCAAAGCTCAGCTGATGCTTCATCTTCAGCTGTCGGTGTTTTTTACTGATGAGCATTGCAGGCACAGTCTCCTTCCAAGGGAGAGCTTCATCCAGAAATACTCCTCCAGCAGTAGGTCACAGCATGTCACTAGGAACAGGAAAATCCACTTGACCATAATGATGCTAATGTGTGGGGGAGTGTAGGACCTTTCAAAAAGAAGCCCAGACAGACTTTCTTTTCTCCAGCTGTATTGGTCCATTACATGCTAACTACTGTCTGAGTTAAGGGATGGGGCACAGTTGTGGTTTTCTTAAAGCATGTTACTAACACTGTCAGCATAACCACTCAAACTCGAAAGGCATCCTGTTGCTTAACCATGAGAGAAAGCACTCTGATTATTTTTAATATTTTTTTCTCCAATACCTGGTGTAAGAAATGGAAAAAGAAAATTATTTTGAGGCAATGGACTGAAAATTGCCCATCAGTGCAGTGCGCGATGGGAATCTGTTGGGGATGGCACAAAGCAGTGCTGCAGTCTAGCTCTTCACTGTGTTATGTCCCAGATCAAAGGAAAATACAGGGATGAACTTGCGTCTGCTGGATAAAATAATGTTGCAAATAAAGACAGGTCGTGAAACCACGTGGTGACTTTGTCTCATGCTTTCAGGTTTTATTTTTTACATCATTAGCCATGCATGAGTTAGCATGCCATTTTGGGCTGGATAGATGCTGCCATTTGTGACCAGTGCTTCAGAGCTCGGCTGCAGCTCTGAGTATAAACATAACCACATCCCAGACAGAAAAGTTGCTAAGATGGTGGTTCGTTAGTGTAATCTTTTTTGCTCTTGTATGTCTCCTTGTTAAACCAGACCTCTCGTATGCTCTGTGGCACGATCTCCTGCACAGGAGGAAACAGCCAGTGATAAAAACTGAGATTTCGTACTTTATACCTACCTCTGAAATATTTAAATGAGAAAGCTCTCTGCAGTAACCTTTGAAAACAGACCAGCACGTTGTATGAAGACAATTTTCCTCTCCAAAATCAAATGATCCTAGAAAAAATCAGAAAGATGAAGTGGAGGAACTACAGTCAATTCACTCTACAAAATGGTTTTGTAGTTTGATATTCCCTTACCAGGACCTGAGTAGCGTATTCAGATAATACCTGGGTATAAATGCTAGATATAATTGCTAGATAGAAATGCTGAGAATAATCAGCAAATTGTACTCTTAGGCTTGCCCAGACACACATTTTAAAAGGAAATTATTGCTATAAAACATTTTACACTTAATCCTTTGTGCATGTTCTTGGAGGCTGCTTGACAAAATGAAAAAAAATCAGTAAATAACTGAGAAGCCAGCTCACAAGCAAGCTCAGAAACAGGGTGCAATTGAAGTCTTTAGTAGTGTCCTGGTTTCGGCTGGGATAGAGTTAATTTTCTTCCTAGTAGCTGGTATAGTGCTGTGTTTTGGATTTAGCATGAGAATAATGTGATAACACACTGATGTCTTTGTTGTTGCTAAGCAGTGTTTATACTAAGCCAAGGACTTTTCAGCTTCCCATACTCTGCCAGTATGGGACCAGGAGGTGCACAAGAAGCTGGGAGGGGGCACAGCCAGGACAGCTGACCCAAACTGGCCAAAGGGCTATTCCATACCGTGTGACATCATGCTCAGTATATAAGCTGGGGGGAGTTGGCCGGGGGACAGCAATTGCTGCTCAGGGATTGACTGGGCATTGGTCGGCAGGTGGTGAACAGTTGCATCACTTGTTTTTCCCCCCGCCCCGGGTTTTGTTCCTCTCTCTCTCCCCCGTTGTTTTACTTTGCATTACAATTTTATTTTTTTTTAATTTCAAGTATTAAACTGTTCTTATCTCAACCCATGAGTTTTCTTACTTCTGCTCTTCCGATTCTCTCCCCCATCCCACTGGGGTCGGGGGGAGGGTGAGAGAGCAGCTGTGTGGTGCTCAGTTGCTGACTGGGGTTAAACCACGACAAGTAGTCATTATGTACCTGGAGATTACCCTTATCATCATCACCATCACTGTAGTGGAGCTGGCTGTGAAACGGTGACTGCTCGTGGTTTCTTCCCTTATTGTTTCCAACAGTTGGAATAATTTTCTGCCATAGTTTTGTTATGACAATCTTGTTCCTTCAATTCTTTCCTAGCCACTCTTTTCCTTCAAACAGCCTTAGTCTCAATGTTTAATGTCATTGCATGGTACCTGAAACAATGAGGAAGGTGCAAATGTGCACCACTGCTTCAGGCAGGACCTGTCCTGGTCAAATCGATCCTCTCGTGGTTTCACACAGCCAGCAGGAGCTTGCCAGTGTGGCAGCTGCCACAGGC